GTTCGGCTCCCTGCGCTCGGCCCCACTGTCGCCCTGTTTCTTGCGCAAGGCGGCAGCTGTGGCCTCGTGCTGCAGCGTGGCCTCCTCCAGGTCCCGCCGCATCTTCTGGAACTCTGCCTCCCGTTTCTTGTTGAGCTCAATCTGCACTGAGGTGGCGCCGCCAGCCTCCTCCAGCCGCTCGCTGATCTCCTCCAGCTCCCGCGACAGGTCTGAGCGCAACTTCTCCACCTTGGCCCTGCCCGTCCGCTCTGCCTCCAGCTCCTCCTCCAGCTCCTCAATCCGCGCCTGGGGCCAGAGAGGTTGTCAGCAGGCTCAACCCCACACAACTCAGCTGCTGAACTCAACTCAACCAACTGGAGACTCTTCAACTCAACCCAACCATCTGGAGGTTCTTCAGCTCAACTCAGCCCAAGCCAACTCGTTGGAGAATCTCCAACTCAACATAAGTCAATGCAACCAACTGGAAAATCTTCAACTCAAGTCAACCCAACCAGCTGAAGACTCAACTCATCCAGCTGGAGGCTCTTCAGCTCAACACAACTCAACCAGTTGGAGTCTCTTCAAATCAACTCATCCACTCAACTTAACCCAACCAGATGGAGGCTCTTCAGCTCAACACAACTCAACCAGTTGGAGTCTCTTCAAATCAACTCATCCACTCAACCTAACCTGACCAGCTGGAGGATCTTCAACTCAACTCATCCCAACCAGCGTGAGTCTCTTCAACTCAACCAAACCAGCTGGAATCTCTTCAAATCAACTCATCCACTCAATGCAACCCAACCAACTGGAGGATCTCCAACCCAGCCCAAGTAGGCCGAGACCAGGTCCCTCACCTGCAGCTCTTTCAGCTTCTTCTGAAGCTGTAGGGCCAGCGCCTGCTCGTCCTCAATCTTGCTGTTCTGCTGGTGGATCTCAAACTCTTTCCTGCAGTGGAAGGTAGAGAGTGCTGAGGTCCCAACCTGCGCCCCCTGACTGGCATGGGCCAGGGAGGGAGATCCCAGCCTCACTTCTTGAGCTTCTCCTCCAGCTGCTGCTTGTCATTCTCTAGATCCATGATGTTCTCCTGGGTCAGCTTCAAGTCACCTTCCAGCTTCCTCTTGGCCCGTTCCAGGTCCATTCGGATCTTCTTCTCCTGCTCCAGTGACCCTTCAAGCTGTGTAAAGCCACAGAAACAGGGAGAAACCTCAGCTTTTTTCATCATTTCGGCCCCAGGAAGCTCCTTGGCAGCACCTGTGGTGGCACTGGCCCACACTCACGTCATCTGCCTGCTGTTCCAGCTTGGCTTTGGCCTTCGCTAAGGTGTTGACCTTGTCTTCCTCTGCCTGCAGGTCATCTAGTGCTTGCTGGTGAGCTTCTTGCAAGGCCTTCTTCTCCTTCGTCAGCTTGGCGATGGTCTCATCCAACCCTGCCATCTCCTCCGTCAGGTTCTTGACCTGCAGGAGAAGAAACACCAGGCCTCCTGCTCAGTGCTTGAGTCTCCTCAACTCAACCCAACCCAATGCCAACCTCCTTGTCTTGAGGTGGAGGCCCCTCCCCGCTCTCACCTTGTTCTCGGTGGCGTGTTTCTCCTTCTCCACCTTGGCCAGAGTCAGCTCCAGGTCATCGATGTCCTTCTTCAGCTCTGAGCACTCATCCTCCAGCTTCCTCTTCTTGGCCGTCAGCTCAGCATTCATCTCCTCCTCCTCCCCCAGCCGCTCTGTCAACTCCTTTGCCTTGGCCTCTAGCTGGATCTTGTTCTTGATCAGTTGGTCGCAGCGCTCCTCGGCGTCGGTCAGGTTGTCTTGCTCCTGTGTCAGGGCAGCGGGTGAAGCAGGGTGTCCCCGGGGCAGGGGGGGGGTGGGTCACCCCCTGGACATGGGTTTTGGGGGTGGGGGTGATCTCACTCACGGCCTGCACTTGGAGCTGAAGGTCATTCTTCTCCTGCAGCATGGAGACCATCTTCTCCTCCAGCTCCTTCCGCCGGGCCTCCGACTTCTCCAGGGCTTCCTTCAGCCGCCCAAACTCCTCCTTCATGCTCTGTACTCAAGCCCGGGAGACCACTAATGACGTCTATTCCCCATCCATCGACCCCATCCAAGCCACCTCACGGGCTGTCCCAACCCCCCTCCCCGCCTCCTCCCACCTGCATCTCCTTCTCCGTCTCAGCGCTCTTCAGCAAGGGTTTGATCTTGAAGTAGAGCTTCATCCAGGGCCAGTTCTTCACCCCCATGAAGGCCCGGATGTTCCACTGGATTACCAAGAGCGCGTCCCTATGGTGGGGAGGTGGATGCTGCCACAAACTAACCCCCTGGAGGTCCCTCCCCACGGAGAAAGACCTGCCCACTCCCACCCCTCACCGTCGCTCCAGGATCTTCTTAAACTCAATGCGCATGAGCTGCCCCCGAGCCTGAGCCTGGATGCGAGTGATGATGCGGGAGAGGCGCTCATCCCTCATCTCCTCCAGCAGCCCTAGGAGCCCAGCCTTGAAGAAGACCTGGTGGAGGAAGAACGTGGGTGAGAAAGGGTTGGTGGGTGGAGGGAAGGATGAGGGGTAGCAATAGACGGGAGGCATGGCTGGTTTGGGACCATGGGCTCCATGGGATGTCGCGGATGGTGGGACAGAGGGAGGGGAGAGAACACCCACACACCCTCACCTTGGTGTGCCCAAACTTGTACTGGTTGTGGTCGATGTCAAGGGAGCCCAGGAGCTTCTCGGCACCCTTGCGGCTGTCAATGAACTGTCCCTCAGGGATGGCTGCAGGGTTCAGGATGCGGTACCTGGACAGGGCAGGGAGGACAGGACACCCCAAAATCAGCCCCGCTGTGGTTGTCCACCCTCCTCCTTCCCATCCCCGCACCCCGTGGTCCCCATCCCCTACCGCTGGCGGAAGTCCCCGTAGAGGATGCGGTTGGGGAAGCCCTTGCGGCAGATGCGGATGCCCTCCAGCACCCCGTTGCAGCGGAGCTGGTGCATCACCAGGGGGTTGTCCATCACGCCTGGTTGGGAGGGAGTGGGGCAGGTAAGGGGTGAAGTCAGCTGCCAGCCATGCCTGCCTGCCCCCCATCCCCGTCCTTTATCTCACCTGGAGCCTTCCTCTCGTTGGGGATGAGGCAGCGGACGAAGTGGGGGTGGGTGGTCTTGAGGTTGGCCATCAGCTTGTTGAGATTCTCCTGGCCAGGAGGGAGGAGAGAAGAAGCTGCTCAATGGGGAGGAGGAAGGGGGGGGCAGTGGGGTGACCCCTCTCTGGGCCGGGGGTAAGGTGGGGTTGTCCTCCCTCTGCCCCACAGCAGGTTGGCTGGGTAGGTCCCTCACCCGGTGCAGGGCTGAGACGGTCTGGAAGGAGGAACCTTTCTTCTTGGCTCCTTTCCCCTTCCCTCCATCACCGCCTGGGCCAAAGAGGGGTGGGGTGAGGTGAAAAAGGAGGCAATGCCAGCAGGCAAGTGTCTTCTCCCTCTGTCCCTCCCTCCACACCCACCGGCATCTGCCCCAGCGTAATTGGAGAATAGGTTGGCCAAGAGCTTCAGGGCTGATTTCTGGTAGAGTCCCACCACCGTTTCGTTGAGGGGGTCCTTGTTCTTCTCCAGCCAACCCAGGATGTTGTAGTCCACCGTGCCGGCGTAGTGGATGAGGGAGAAGTGGGCCTCTGTCTTCCCCTTGATGTTGCGTGGCTTCCCAAAGTTGGATGACTTGCCCAGGTGGTTGTCATAGAGCTTGGCCTTGAAGGTCATGTCCGAGGCCTTGGGGAACATGCACTCCTCCTCCAGGATGGACATGATCCCCATGGGCTGGGGAAGAGAAGACTGCGTTGGCCGGGGAGGATGCCCAGCACGACCCAACTGGCTGCCTTTGGGGTCCCTGGCAAGCTCTGCTGGAAGGCTTCTCCAGGAGCTCCCACAGCCCCCAGCAGGCCCCGGGGGAAATGTACCTTCTCAATGAGGTCAATGCAGGCCTGGAGGTCCATTCCAAAGTCGATGAACTCCCACTCAATCCCTTCCTTCTTGTACTCCTCCTGCTCCAGCACGAACATGTGGTGGTTGAAGAACTGCTGCAGCTTCTCATTGGTGAAGTTGATGCAGAGCTGCTCAAAGCTGTTGAACTGGGGAAAGGAGAGGGGGGAGATGGCCAACGGGGTTGACCAACTGCCCAATGGGATCAACGAGGTCAACTCAACACCAAATGGGGTCAATGCAATGCCCAACGGGGTCAACCTGAGACCCAACAGGGTCAACTGAGCATCCAACAGGGTCAACATGACGTCCAATGGGATCAACAGGGTCAACCTGAGACCCAAGGGGATCAACCAAACACCCAATGGGGTCAACACAATGCCCAATGGGATCGACAGAGTCAACTCAACACCCAGTGGAGTCAACTGAGCACCCAATGTGGTCAACACAGTGCCCAAAGAGGCCAAGTTCCCCCCAAAGGTCAACACAAAGCTTAAGGAGATCAACTCAACCTCAAACTGGGCCCACCCAACACCCAAGAGGCCCAACTCCAAACCCCTTGCCGGTCCCTCCTCAGGCCTCACATCGAAGATCTCGAAGCCGGCGATGTCCAAGACTCCGATGAAGTACTGCCGTGGCTGCTTAGTCTCCAGTGAGTTGTTGATCCTCCCCACCATCCAGTTGAACATCTTCTCATAGACAGCCTTGGCCAAGGCCCCGCTGGAGTAGTAGACCTGCTGGACGTTCTGCCCCTTGGTGACGTACTCATTGCCCACCTTCACCCGGGGGTGGCACAACCCCTTGAGAAGATCGGCTGAGTTCAGTCCCATCAGGTAAGCTGACTTGTCGGCATCTGCAGAGCACCGAGAAGATGCCATGCGGTCAGCTCCCGCCTTGGTGTGGAGGGAGCCCGCTGACTTCCAACCCTG